TGGTTTTGCCTGTGATTTTTACATTTACAGATTCAGGGAATAAAATAAGTATTCACATTTCCGAAACATACTTCCTTTCCACCAAATTCTGTTCTTATATTGAGTAGCTACTTTTCTAGCCTTGTATTCAGCTGACCAGGCCTCAAGTTGGCATGGAATTAATGTCTTACAGGTCTCCATGAGAAGATCAAGGCAATTTCGCTTCAACCCAAAATCAGCACGACCCTTAAACTAAGAGATGGAAAGCATAGTATTACAACACTTGCGTAATATCCTGTGCCTTGTAATCAAACCATCTTTCATCCCATTTTTTTTGCTTCCATAACTGGACAACTTCATTTAGCGAAACAACACCTAAATGAGTTAGCCAGGATAACATAGTTCTCAATTTAGAAGCCGACCAATATTTTTCACCAAATTCTTTGCACACCTGTTAAGGCTCTTCACAAGCAATCTACAACTACCTTGTCATCTCTTGTGCTTCCTCAGAGGCTTGGATTTGTAGGTGGACTCGAAAGATCTAATGATTTTACTTTTATGATAAGTGAAATCAAGAGATCATCATCATTAAGATGGCAAGAAATGATGATGATAATCTCTTGATTTCAGATATTATAACAAACAATACCACCTGACCTTCCAAGAATTGGTTCACCTGCAATCCCAGCCTATGAGGGAGCACAGAAAAGGAAAAGGCAGTTGCTGATAGCTTGTGAGGACTTTTTGTAGGGGTGCAAAGAATTTGTGAAAAGAAGTGGTCGGCTTCCAAATTGAGAACTGTTTTATCCGGGTTAACTCATTCAGGTATTGTTTCGTTAAATGAAGTTGTCCAGTTACTGAAGCTAAAAATTATGTGATGAAAGATGGTTTGACTACAAGGGGCAGGATATTATGCAAGTGTCATAATTTGGTGCTTTCTATCTATGACCATAAGAGTCATGCGGTTTTGAGTTGATACAAAATTGCCTTGATCTTTTCATCGAGTCTGGTAAGACATCAACCTCATGCCCACTTGAGGCCAGGTCGCTAAATACAAGGCTAGAAAAGTAGCTCCTAAAACTGGTCAAGTTGAAGAGATAGATCAAAATGATGATAGTTGTGGGTGCTGTGGAGATGTAGGTGAACTCATTTGCTTTGCTAGCTGTCATCTGCGTTTCATCAGGCTTTCTTGTTTGAACAGGTTTGTTTTTGCTCTCTCTTTCATATCCAATGGTTTTCATGTAGCTCCTCTCCTTTTATGGAAATTTTAAATTATTTTCCTTATATTTTTCAATTTTTTAATTCCTGGAAATAGCACAAGCATTTGGTTCCATGCACAAACTTCTGCTAACATGCGTCTAGTTGCCGAGTTTTATCAATGTCTAAGTATTGAAATGCATTAAGAGGTTTGTGGTAAATTTAAGACCAGACGAAACTCAAATCATAATTCAGTTGAAAAGAAGCAAATAGTTGACACGATTTTGCTGAATGATCTTCTAGTATGTATTTGCCTTCAATTTATATAATATTACAGAGATATACAAGGAAAGATTTTATGCTATACAATCAAATCAAATCCATGATTCCATGCCGATTATACATAGAAATTACTAATTAAAATATCCTCTAATACCCCCTCCTCAAATTGATGCTGGTGAGTCCGTCAACAATAATTTGCTGACAAGAAAGTGATGAAGATTACAAGTTAAGGATTTGATGAAGATATTTGCTGCCTGTTGAGTCATGGAAACATGGGGAAGCATAATGACATTGGAATCATAGGCATCGCGTATATAATGATAGACCACTTCAATATGTTTTATGCGCTCATGGTACACAGGATTAGCCGCAATCTAAATAGCACTAGTGTTATCACTATGGAGTGGTGTAGGTTGTGATTGAGAAACACCAAGTTCCGCAGGAAAACCTCATAACCATACAATCTTGGAATAGGCAGCTGACATAGCATGATATTCAGCTTCAGTGAAGGACTTAGGAACAATCAGCATCCATAATATGTAAAAGCGGGGAGCTCAAGAGATATCCTCCTAGGGAAAAATAGACCACGATGAGGAGTCCTAATAAAATCTTGAATAATACGACGGACAGCTCCCAAATGTAGATGTTGAGGAGCATCCATAAATTTGCTAACAATATGAACGATGAAAGAAATATCAAGACGTGAGATAGTGAGATGATGAGACTTCCCACCAACTTTCGATATAGAGTAGGGTCTGAAAGAATATCTCCTTCGTCTCTTCGATATTTAATGTTAAGGAGACGATGATTTTTACTTTGTGCCACTCTATTTTGTTGGGGAGTAGATGGACAAGACCTTTAGTTTGTAAAAAATATTGAAACGCATTAGACATATATTCACCTCTAGAATCAGATCTCAAGAATTTGATTGAAGAAGAAAATTGATTATCAATAAGAGCAAGGAAAGCTTGAATGACTGAGAAAATCTCGCTCTTCGCATGATGAAAATAAACCCATGTAAATCGACTACAATCATCGATAGAAGTGACAAAATATTTATAATGAGCATGAGATACCACAAGTGCAAGACCCCATACATCACTATGAACAATATGGAAAATATGTAAAGCGCGAGAACCATGAGATGAGAACGGTAAAACTTTACATTAGCAAGTTTACATGAAGAAAATCAAGAGAGATAAATGAAACAAAATCAGAATTCTTATTACCAAGTAAACTAGAACGAAATAATTGTAGTAACACACAAGAATTGGGATGTCCCAATTTCTTATGCCAATAAAAAATATCCAAATTAGCAAAATTACACATAATAGGAAAAGATGAAACGGGCTTTAGTGAAATAGGAAAGAGACGTCCCTTTTTGGGCCTCCTCATGATCATCCTCTCGAACACTTGTTCCTACACATGACAGCCAGAAAAAGAAAAAGACATGGTACAATTGTTATCAACAAGTTGGCCAACTGATATAAGATTAGTGGATAAAGAAAGAGACTAAAACATTAACCAAATTCGGTGATATATCACCCACAGCTAAGATAGGTAGAGTGTTACCATCAGCGGTGTGTATATTGAGAGGTCCATTATATGGTTTAATGTTATTAAGCAACAGAAGATCATGAGCTATATGATTAGAAACACCTGAGTCTAATAACCAAGGAGAACGAGTAGTTGGTGGATTATCTGAGACACCTAAGGCAGATAAAGTGGAGATAACCATTTGTTGAATCATCTCAGGAGTGATGGAAGCTTGAGGTGGACTAGGAGAAGTTGGAACTCGAGTGGGAACAGGTGATGGAGCAGAACTGGAGGCTAAAGTGGCAGCAACAACATAACTTGCTCCAATCTTGCGTGGAGGACGAGTAGGGCATTCCTTAATAACATGGCCAGGCTTCTTACAATAATTACTAACTTTTCTAGGACACTAAAGGGCCATGTGACCAAACCTCTTACAACTGTAACACTGGACACTCGACATATCCTGAGATTTGAATTTTCCTTGAGCCGCATATGCAATAGGAACCGGTGTTACGTGATTTTGTTGTTGTTCCAATGAGCTACAAGTTATAAGACGTTCCTCCCTCAGTAGTTCACTCAACCAACCATGATGGAATGGACTTGCGATTCATAAGACTAGACCTGATATATTCAAATTCAGTTCGTAATTTCATAAGAAATTGATCGCTCTTGGTGACTTCATGTATAGCTTGTACAACCTCCAAACTAACTGGTGAAATTGTAGCATAGATGATATCCATGTACTCAGCCCAAATCTTAGAAAACCCAGAAATTATATTCTTCAATGGAACGAGAGTCCTAAGAAAAATTTGCCAATTCACACTCCAACCAAAGTCCTCGAGCATTGTTACTTTGAGCATAGACCTTTTTTAAATATTCTCACATAGAACGAGCTAACTTGTAGGGCCTCAAATTAAGAACAACATGCGCATCAACAGTACCGATGATCCATGCCATAATTTGGGAATCCTTGGTTTTCCAAGCTCAATACTTCTCTTTTTCCTTTTCAAGATCAGGAAGCGAAGTACTTCCATCAATATGTCCCCACATATCGCCTTTTCCTTCAATCAATAATTGAAAATGCAATGCTCATGACAAGTAATTCTTGCCAGTACAACGGATATAAACGGCGTCATTTTTCTCCAGTGACATGATGAAATAATAAATAGTCCCGCTAAAATAAATCAGTCAATATCCACCAAATGAATTCACTCCAAGCCCAATAGATTGGCCCAACCAATATACAATTAGCTTCCAAATCACACCAACACAACCCATTTACTAAATGCAAAGCCAAACCAAGCAGACACGATGCACCCACAGAGACACGACGAGAACTCCACAACACGGACGATGGAAGAAGATGAAACTCCAACCAACCTTACAGATGCGCCGGTACAATCAAAAAGCATGCAGAGTCTAAGAGCACACAGAATTGAAGAACACGTAGAGTTGCAGGCTGAGAAGGCGACCACCGGAGTTCACTAAAAAGACGTCGACCATGAGAAAACCAAGTGGCGTTATTACAAGAATTTTACCTTTTCCCTACAAAATTTATTTGCAGGGAAAAGTTCTTATTTGTAGGGAAAACCTTTTGTAGACAAAAAAAAAAAAATTTGTAGGAACATTTGTTGGGCAAACATTGAGGGGAAAGAATTTAGCCCACAAATTTTTGAAATATGTTTGCTAAAACTTTTCCCTACGAACCATTTGGAGACAAATACAATACGTCGTGTAAGTTTTTTCCCAACAAAATCGTTTGTCTGCTAAAGTTAATTTAGTCCACGAAATAATTTTGTTTTTCCCTACAAATTACGACGTAGGCTAAAACGTACACATTTTCCCAACAATTAGAAATTTGTGGCAACATGTATAGACTAGTTGGTAAGCTAAACCTTGTTTTTTCCTACGAATATTTTTTTGTAGGGAAAGCATGTTTGCAAGCTATTATGAAAGAAATTAAATTATTGTTACATATTAATCTTTTAACGATACTCAAAATAATATAAAGATACAAAAAGACAATATATTAATTAAAATATGTAATGTCAATCACTGTAACATTGAAACCGAAACATATCATCAAAACATAAATAAAAACCATTCACTAAGCATGGTTACATCTAAATTTAAACTAAAAACCATATTCATTGGGGGCAATGTGACTGAATGATGGCTCTGATGTCATGAACTAACAACGATTGACTCCAAAACTTGTAGCTTGTTTGCTCAGTTAATTATATAAAACTCTAATGTTCTCTCGAGTAGTACGCACAATACAAGAGGTCCTAATTTGTTTACATGCCCCTTGGATAGGAAGATCTAGAGTCCTTGACAAGTGTCCTGCACCTATCCCTGCAAATCCAATAATAAAAATCAAACATGTAAATGGACTTCATATAGTAAGAAAATTAACTATGAAAAAAAAAAAAAACTACCTTAAACTCATTTATTTCATCATCCAATGTCCTATCATTTTCTCCAGTTCTTTGAACCTTTTCACTTTTTGCTGCATCTATTATATGATATTCACATTACCTTTTTATACTTGCTCATTACTTGAAATGCAAAAGTTTCTACCTCAATCAAGGCATACATAGTTACAGATAACACACACAAATTTAAAAAAATTACACAGTGAAAGTCAAACAGGTTTCTCTAATTCTAGATTCCAATTGCAAGCTTAGGAATGCCAGGTAACACACAAGAAATTTAAAAAATTCAATAATTACTGAAGCATATTTCCACTATTAATATGATATTATCTTCAATCTCAATGAGCTACCTTAGTAATATGAACGTATATTGTTGCTTATCCACTACATCTCTACTTCCTAAAATTATAGAAATATATTTATGTTCATTGTATACCATGTAACAGTGGATTGATCTCGAATTTCATATTCAAAAACCAAAAATCGACGACTCTCGAAAATGATAATCAGTAAAAGGAACAAATGGTTGCTTAGTAGCTTGACTAGCACAAATTTGTATACGAGTTAATTAAATGAATGCTCACTTAATTTCACCCTGGGTTACTACTTGTTCTATGAACAAAAAATGGTGACCCACTACGCACTCATCTATTTACACGTTTACACATCTATCACTCATTTCCAATATGTTACCCTTAATTAACGAAAAATTCCAAGTATACGACGAAAAATTGATGTGGCAGCTTAACGGCGTTTATTTGTCCACTTGGATTAAAGACGTACCCAACCAAAATGATAAATTTTTGTTTAATTTCTGAAACGCGCTTCTTCTAAACCTTAAAATCAAAAAACCGCCCAAATTAAAAACATAAAATCACCCAAATCAAAACTCCCAACATAAAATGCTGGAATCAAATTTCATTATTTCAATCAATGAAAACAATATGTCCATGAATTATATCCACCCAACTTCCATATTAAGATTTGATTCAAGGAGGAGAACAAAAAGGCCAATCAAATTCTGGAATAAAATTATCAAACCCTGGAAATGAATTCTTTAAGAAGACAATGAAATCGCTATTCAATTTAATCAGGGGAAAAGAAGGCAAGATTAAAAAAATTAATTCAAATCAATGTAATCAATTAGTTGTAAAAATGCAGAAAAACATCAACGAATTACCAAATCAATCGAAAAAAATAAATACTTTATTAGAGATTATCGAGAGAATACTAGAAAACCCAAAATCCAACGAATTGAAACATGAGAAAAGAATCAGAAAATGAACCCGTATGCAGACATAAATTGGAGGAAGAAGGCAGAGATATTCTCTCTCTCACTGCATATAATATTTGGTTATTTTGTGACTTTCCATCAGAAGTAGACGGACATCAAACCGTCGCCGTGCCTAAGCATCGATGGGCATACCTTGAAGAGAGATTGAAGAAGAATACAAAATCGATATTTGTAATTTTTTACAAGACAGTAGACACTACATCAATTGAAGATTTTGAATTAGGTTTGGCCAATTGAAGCGGCAAAGGAAAGGAATGAACAGTTTTGGGGGGAAATATTTTGGTCTCAAAGATGAATTAGGTTTGAAAATTTTTCTCCTTAATTATTAGCCTACAAACCTGCCTAATATTTTTGTTGGGAAAGAGATATAAATACAATTTTTTGTGGGCACAAGTTCCTTTAAAATTGAAAATTTTTGAATTAAATCATAACCCTACAAAATATTTTTTTTTTGTGGGAAAAAGTGAACTCTGTAGACAAATCTCAATTTGTATGCGTAAATTTTGTAGGGAAAGCATATATTTCTTATAGTCAACTGTGAACAATCAATCGACCACCGTGATGCCTACAATGAAGAACCAAGAACTGATTGCTGCCCAAACAAGAAAACCGTAGCCCACACCACGACCACACACACGAGAAAAAAAGGTCAGGGCTCTAATACCATGACACGATTTTGCTGAATGATCTTCCAGTATGCATTTGCCTTCAATTTATAGAATATTATAGAGAGATACAAGGAAAGATTTTATGCTATACAATCAAATCAAATCAAATCCCTGATTCCATGCGGGTTATACAAGGAAATTACTAATTAAAATAACCTCTAATAATAGTATGATCCCTTTTATTACAATGTGTTTCAGGATCTCTTGCTTCCGGTGTTCATGTTAGTAATCTCAGTTCGATTGTAGCTTAAGATGATTAATTCTTTGAAGGTTGAGATGCACGTTTTATCTGCCATTCCCAGTGAATAGTGGATACATGACGAAGGGTTTTGAGCAAAACTAACCTCATTGTTTTTCCAGGTTCCATATGGCTAAAGAAGTCTTCTTGTCATACCATGAATCAATTAAATGGTGAGGGTTCTTAGTATTTGATATTTTGTTCATCCTTGTTCAAGGAGAATGTTTGGCGAAGCCTAAAAAGTAAAACTAAAAATAACATACTGAAATATATTTGAATAGTAAGCATCCCTTTTATCACTTTCCAATTTTTAAGATGAGTATCTCCACATTCTAGTAACATTTCTTGTGTTTTTCTTTTTCTTTTTTTTTTTTTTTTTTTTTTTTTTTTTTTTTTTTTTTGGTGGGGGTTGTTTTAGGTTGTTTTGACTGGGTGGCTTTTGGTAGGCTGTTGATTGGGTTGTTTTGGTGCATGCTTGAAGTTTCAAACCCTTAACTGCTGCGTGGGAGATTTCCTGCTACACATGAAGTTGGATATTTTATTACCTCGAATTTTTTATATGGTTCTCTGATCTTATATTTTTGGTGACTGTTTCTCCTCTCTCTTCCATTTTCCTTATGTCTCAATTCTAAGGATCCATTTTCTGTGATGCATGACCCATTTCCCTGGCTGACCCAAGGAAATATTGGGCTCATTGAGTAGCTCATACTTAATTATATGTATTAGGCTTGAGAAAAGTAAATTTAGATAAGATCGAATCAAGTTAGAACCAACCAAAGAAAGTTTATGAATAACTGAAATTTTAACGGAATTAATTAGTTCTCTTTGGTTTAACAGGTTACGACAATTGAAGTTAAAGTAGGCTTTTAAATCTCCGTTATAATTAATCTAAACTCTTGAGGTTAACTCCTAATGTTATTATGCTTGGCCAAATCCAATTTCATTATACTAGGCTTATCATCAAATTTTTTGATCAAACGAATTAGCATGCATAAAAGATTAGCAGTTACATTTTCAGTAGGAGACTATGCCTATTTATACCCCATGTCGACGCTAACTTCATCTTTCATACTTATCCGATTTAGTTACAAAATATTGTACAGACTATGGCCATCAGATTGTTATCTCTCACGTCTCCCTTTTGTCCATAAAACTATGAAAATGTCATCCCTAAACCCGTAGAAAGTGTACATGTAGACGCTTATAGTTCATAAAGTTTTCAGTGAATTAAACAAGAAGATCAAAGATTTTTTCAAGTTTTACAACCTTTTAATAATAAGGTAAAATACTCCCAAGTGCAAGTGGTTCGTTTTCTTATGCTTTAAATAATCAATGATATATGCAGGAATTGCGGATGGACTTCAGGATTGACCTAACAAAATGTGAAATCTTCCAAATTCTTTATAACAAAATGAAAACTCCTTCGAGAATTAGAAATGAAATGAAATGAGAAATCCTTCGAGAATTCGAAATGACTACGCGATGAGGTTCTTGCTTGATTACCGAAATACTCGAAGTGAAATGTGGCATGCAGTATCGGATTTAATGATTTATTTAATTGTATATAGAAACTGCATATATCTTACCGAATATTGTCAAATAATCAATCTTACAAAAATTTAGGTGTTAGTTCGGGTTGATGAGTTCTGCAGTAGGAAGGTGACGTAGGTCGCCAAAAGGACTAGAAATTTAAAAGCATTAAGTTTTTACTATTTTTCAATTGATTATTTCTTCTTATTTGTGTTCAACGGCATGTTTATTTCATAAGTAAATTATTCTATTTTCATTTCAAAAATATACAAACTCCATATTTTGATTGATATTTACTATTGAAAATAGAAAATAATTTTTTTTATTGTTTTGCACTTACGTGATAGAAATTGGGGTGTTGCACATTGTGTTGTTGTTGTTTTTTCCTTTTTTTTTTCTTTTTTTTTTTGGTGGGTTTCTTGCCTATTAGTCTTTTGCTATTGAGCTTCTATTGAGCGTATGAGTAATTGGTCTACATGAGTAATTCTGTTTTTAGTGGACCACTCTATACATCGTTATCCGAGTTGGGCATATGGAATATCTAGGCAACAACTTGAGAGGAGATTAAAAATTTATGGATATTTTGTATGAGTTGGATTTCCATATATAGTTATTATGTATAGATGGTTAGTATGAGTAAGATTTGCAAATAGGATTAATTTAGATCTTGTATAAATAATCTTTGAATTGGACGAATATAAAATAAATTCAGCCAAAATTTCAATGGGTACAAATTCATAGTGTACGCTTGCCACGTGTTCCTTGTACCAAGCCCTATTCGGTCATCGCAAAGCCCTTTACTCATGAGGTTTCGGGTCAGTTAAAAAGTGTTATAAAAACTATGGGCTTTGGTGTACACTGATTTTTGACACTTTAATTAACACTTACATTGTTGTCAAGTGTCAACTAGATGAAAAATATGTTTGAAATTTAAAATGTTCAATAGGATAATGCTATGTGATAAAATGTAAGTCAAAGTATACACCACAGTGTACATGTAGCAAAATTCTAATCATGTCTTCCTTTTAGCAGCCCACAGATTTTTACCATCTCTAAGCATTACAATTCAAGAATCCTCATGTCTAAATTGGTGGAACCCAAATTTTATGCAGTTCAAAAGAAAATGCGATGTGAGTTTTTGCTTTTATCAATATTTCTCTTTTCAAATATTTTGTTGCTATTCTTTTTATTGGCTATTTGAATTTGGTGGTGGGAGCTTCGAAATTTGAAGAAAGTTTTTAAGGCGGATTTTTCTCTAATTTTTCGAATTTAGTTATTTTAACAAATGGAGTTTTGTGTAGCTCGAAGTTTATCTGTTTCCTTTTCCTTTACTCTTGGGTTG